GGGGATTACAATTGAGATGAAAAAAAAAATGTGAAAAATGATGTAAAAATAAACTTTTTAATAAAAAAAAAAAAAAAAAAAAAAAAAAACCTCTGCTCCTCTGGACATACTGTAAGAATATCTTTTACGATCATTGGTATTTGGACAACAGTTAGCTTATACTCATCTTTTCTTCTAAAAGACGCTAAAGTACGTCCATTAGCCCCCGAAACACTGAGCCTCCTTTGCCCAGGGGATAAGAAGCTGAGGACTAAAAGGGGGGTGGGGGGAAGCAGTGGAGACGGTGGCCGGGCCGGACTCACCTCTTCCCCTGGTCGTTCCGGCCCCCAGTGCTGGAAGACAGTATCCGCTTCTCCTTGGGGCCCTGTGAAGAGAGGGAGGGCAGTCTAGGCTCGGCGCTGGGTAGCTTAGGCTGGTCAAAGCCTCAGCCCCTCCTGCGGACCTGGCCAGACAGGGGGGCGCTTTGCTCACTGCATGACACCTGCCAGCCTCTCATTTTGGCAGCGACTCTACCCTTGCTTAGTCTGAGCCCCAAGTTAGAGAGCAGGATGAGGTGCCCCAGGAGTGGCAGTTAGGAACCGTGGGATGTGGAACCAGGCAGACCTGGCTTACCTGCTTAGAAGAGCTGGATAACTGGGTGAATGTGCCTTTCTGAGACTCAGCTCCTGCCTGTGTCGAGGGGGTTATTCGAGGGAACGATAGGCACAGTGCTGGCTGCTTAACACAGCACCCTCCGTGTGCTGCCTCCTGGACCGACGGCCTTCTGTGAGTTCTCCAGTCTAGCCCCTCACAGCTACTCTGCCGAGCTACTAAGACCATCCTCATCATATAGATAAGAAAACTGAAGCCCAAACGCTCTGCTGCCTTAGTGGCTAGCAGCATGAATTCTGAATCCAGAATTCTTGGGTTCAGTTCCTGGATCTGCCACATACTGTGTGGTCCTGGGCGAGCCCCTTCACTTCTCTGCCTCACTGTCCTCACCTGTAAAGCAGGGGTGGGGAGAGTAATACCCAGGGATCGTCCAAGTGCTTACATCAGCACCAAGCCCAAGGAAAGCACTCTATAAATGCTCCCTTTCATGATTATCATACATATTGTTACATTTTAGAGCACCTAAGTCATTTCTCCCATGGCTATCAAATTGAGAAACAGGTCTCGAACCCCGCCACGCCTGGGAAGGCGCCTGGTACAGTGCTGGGGATTCAGTGAGCCACAGCAAGTGGCTGTCTTTGCGGTGCATTGTCCAGAGCCACAATGCCAGTTTGTGGCAGGGCTAAGTCTCAACCTCCCAACTTGAAGCTCTTTCTGCACCATGGCACGGTATCATTACTACTCACAAGCTGCCCAGAATCCAGAGTGTTCTGGAATGGGGACAGCAAGGTGGTGTATGTTACCAGGACACAGATCTCGTTAAAGCCGTGGCACCTTCAGAGCCTGTCCCTACCGTCTGGCCTGAGGAGGGTAGCCTCTCACCCAGGGGACATGATGCTGGATTTTAATGTGTGGTCTAATCTCAAGCTGAAGCCCAGACTGGAATTCTGGCTCTCACCACACCCCCAAGCTGAAGCAGTCAATTCAAATTTCTTTCCCATTCAGGACCCCATCTGTCTGCTGGGAGGAGGTAAGTTGGGTCACTGTACTGCTCCAGGATGAGAGCCAGCACCAGAGAGAAAACCAGGGCCTTCTCCTATCTGGGAGCAATTCCTGACCTTGAATTCTGCACTTACACAGGGTTTGCCTTCCTCTGTGGGCTAGGGCAGGTAAAATACTTCTTGACCAGTAAATTTGAGGGCCGGCTTTAAATGTCTTAAGTTCAGAGCCAGTTATCTCAATAGAGGCTATTCACGTCCCCCATCGTCAAATATGGAAAGTCTCTTAGAATAGTCATCCAGCCCCAGGCTTCGCAAGAAAGCTTGCTGTTGTGTGCAATTCTGACAGATGGGTGGGGCTGCCTAGAATCCCGGGACCTCGTGTGCCCTCAGTGAGAATGCAGGCTAGACTCCATTAACGGGCACAGGTGACACAGGAATCATGCATTTGTGATCACTGGCTGATAAAGCCCACCTGTCACATAAGGGAGGGCCTAGCTCCTATTCTCAAGAACTGAGTCTCCCAGAGTCAAGGCCAAGGCCCTGGAAATTGTTAGAAAACAATAAAAGAGACTTTGTCAGTTGTTATAGTGCACGAAATGGCAGCGACTGGAAAGAAGGAGCGCAAGACGCAGGAGAGGGAGAGGAGATGCAGCAAGAGGGCTCCCAGAGCAGACAGGCCTCACAGGGCCCTGCAGGAAGAGAACAGGCACAAGACAGACAGCACCTTTCTGAGAGATGGGTGGGAAGAGCAGGGTAACTGAGGTGACGTAAGCAACAGGGACGGAAAGAATATGGCAGGTTAAAGTTCTTGCTGTGATGGAGTGAACTTGGCCAAGCCATTCAGCCATGTGGTCAACATGTACTGATGACTGTGTGGCCGACAGCAGGGGGGCACTGGGACTCAGTTATGGTCGTGACACTGTTCCTGCCTTCCAGGAGCTCTGGGGCAGTTGGAGCATAAATGGGCAAAGAGCAAGTTTCTAAGGACAGAGTCCAGAATGATGATGGTGGTTGCTGATGGGGCCGAGAGGAAGCAAAGAATTGGAGGCCCAAGGAAGCTTCCCACAACCCCCACCCAGTGAATCAATGAGACGACACTGAAGCTGAGACCCAAAGCCGAGAGCAGAGTTCCGCCAGGGAGAGGGAGGCAGGCACAGTTGCCAGGCAACAGGTACCATGTGCAGCCGTCCTGAGACAGAAATTATACGGGGTGAAGGGGCCTCCCCGATGGCACAGGAGTTAAGTCTCAGCACCATGAAGCTATCTGCAGCCACTGCGGCAGTTCAATCCCCATGTGGGAACACCCACAGGACCCAGCAGACCTCTCCTGTCTCACCTGTTGCTCTCCTCAGCAGTGTATTTCAGTAGATTCACTTGTTCTGCTCCCCACTCTGTCTCTAGTGAATCTTCTCACTCCCTACCCCCATGCCTCTGGGCTACATCCCAACTCTTATTTCCATAAGTTTTTTTTAATCTTAAAAAAAAAAGAGGTTGCCTGTGGTGGGCATGGTGGGCTGCTGGGCCAGCAGGCCTGAAAGGGGAGACCCATATCCAAAGAAGGGCACACCCAGGATGGGGAACGTACCATGTAGTAGTCGTAGAGGAAGCTCAGTGCCGCGACACTGTCATCGTCCCCGTTGACTCTCATCATGGCCTTTGTGGCAGCTGTCAAGGGGTTTTCCAGGTAGGTCTTCCAGGCCTCATCCTCACTAGTGTAGGGGAACTTCTGGAAGTTGACCGGGTCATTCTTTAGCAACCGCACAGACCTAAAACTGGAAGGCCAAGGAGGAGGATCACATGTAGGTTGTCCCAGATGAAGGTCCCTGAAGAGCCAGCCTCAGGCCAGGGCCCGAGAATGCAGAGTTACCAGCCTAGAAAGCTTGTGCCAGCGCTGTGGAGCTTGGGGTGACAGAACGAATCTGAACTCCAGGGCTCGAAGCCTCGGATGGATACCAAATGCCGCCACGTAAAAATGGTAGACCCGGGCCTCAGTTTCCTTGTCAACAACTTGAGGACTAAAATCCCAACCTTGCAAAGCTTCAGGGAGGATTCATTCCAATGCTTCCAGGGAGAGACTGACTCGAGGGGGTTAGTCTAGCAAGGACAGGAAGTGACTATGGCAAGCTGCAAGGATAAAATTGCCAGGTAGTCCAGCATGACTTCTGAAGAAGTGCACTTCAAGCCAACGAAGCCACAGAGGCCGGAGAGAGGGTGTGGTGAGGGACCCGGAGAGCCGGGCGTGAAAGCCCGGAGGCAGAAGCTGGCCTTGGGGCAGGCACCGCAGAAGTGCCCAAGCAGCGGTCAGATGTCAGGAGCTGGAGAGCAGTGCTGTGAGGCAGAGGTGGCGGGCCTGGGCCCTGGGGGACCTGCAGGCGGACAGGGAGATGGCCTGAGAGACACGCCGCGCGGGCTCAGGAAAGAGGCCGATGTTTCAGGCTGTGACACTGGGCCCTGGGAACTACATCTGGTGGGGGAGGGGAGCAGGGCAGGGTAAACAGTGTAATGTTGGTGACAAAAATCATACCATCTTCTTTGAGCACGGCCGTGTTGGAGGCTCTGAGCTACGCATGTTTCCCGGTTCTCTCACTTAGTTCTCATAACAACCCTATATGGCAGGTACTATGATTAGCGTCCCTGTTTTCTAGATAAGAAACTGCAAAGCAGAGATGTTAAAGGAGCGCCCAAGCTCTGTTGTGAGAGACCCAGAGGGGTTTCAGGCTCAAGCAGGACGACGCTGTACTCCAGAGCAATATTCTCAAACCTGGATGGCTTGTTCAAGCACAGGTTTCTGGATAAAACCCCTAGAGTTTCTGATTCATAGGTCTGGGGTGACCAGAATTTGCATTTCTAATGAAGTTCCCTGGTAAACTGATGTTGATAGTCTGGGGACCACTCGTTGAGACTTATTGGCACAGATCTGACTCTTCATCACAAGAAAAGTATAGAGATGGAAAGTTCTGGTTGTATTCATTTTAGAGAAAGGAGCATGTGGAGAACAGAGGTAGCAGCGAGGCTGGAGAAATGCCAGGGATGGAGTTAGCACTGATTGGACGGCTGCAACCCCAGTGCCCCGCTTTCTCCACAAGCCTGAGACACTCAGTCACCGGGACACAGGAGCAATACCAGCTGCGGTTCACTGTGGCACCTGTAAATACTCTCCACTCGTGACTGCTCTTTACAAGAACACGACCCGGTAAGACACATTTGTTTAATTTTACAGGTAAAGAAGTCTGAGGCTTACGGGGGACTAGAAGATGCTCACGATCATCCATGTAGTCCATGGCACACCAGGATTTAAACCCAGGATGGGTTAGCACTGAAGCCACACTGCTTTGCTATACAGTACAAGAAGGCAACTCTCCCTGCAGCAGAAAAGTGATTTTGTGGGAGTTTTGAGTTGAGTACAAGGCAGGCTGCTGGGGGCGGGAGGGACCGTCACCGATCACGCTACCAGAAGTGCCCACCGGCTGCCCAGCAGCTCAGTCCCCTGTTCTCAGGCAGAGTGGGCCAGCACCCAGCCCATGCCCAGGACAGCTGCTCTCCCAGGGGCTTCAGCCCACTGGGCCCCAGGGTACAGGGCAGGGCGTTGCACAGAGGGCGGGAGAGAGAACTGTCAGGCAGGAAAGAGAAATGACAGAAACCTTCCTGCTCCAGGGGCTAGGAGAGGCAGGCACACCCCAGGTTTCTGCTGCTATAAATCAAGGGCCTCAAGATGAGAGGCGAGAAAAGGCCCCTCCTAGCTGCCTCCTGATCCTGGGGTTACAGGAACAGACAGAGCAAGCCAGTGGCTGCCCCCATCCCTTTCCAGCCTCAAGTAAAGGGAACTCCCAGGCCCGTGGGGCACAGAGAAATAGATAAGGCCTGTGAGCAACCTGCTCCCCAGCCCCTGACCACCCAGGACCCCAGTGCTGAGCACCGTCAAAGCCCACCTGGCAGGATTAGGGCTGAGTGCACAGCTCAGAACCCAGAGAGATGCTCAGAACTGTCCTGGCCCCTCAGAGCTAATGCACGTAGTCACTACTGCCCTCAGGTCTAGCTCGGAGGTGGACACTGAGGAGCTGCAAAGTGCCACAGGACACAGTGACTCTGACGTCAGGGGCAGGTCTGGGCCTAGAGACCCAGTATGCGGACTCTGGAGGAACAATCATTACCAGGCTGGATGAACTCTCGGTTATTTTACCCCAGTTAAAGATTAAATGTTCAAAGACGATGATAAAGACACACCAGAAACAAAAGAACAGATATTGTTGGCTGCTCACCTGGGCGTCGTTTTCTTGCCTACAAGAGTCTCCAGTCCATCCTGTGGGAGCCTAACTTCTGATACTACACTGCTGCCATCACGCCTTCAGCATTTAAAACCACTTTTAGGTGTTTAGAGCCGTCTCGATGTGACAGCCACTTTCCTGTGTCATCTCACCTACTGCACACAGTAGTCTAGAGAAGATGTTAGGGAGATCAAGACTCAGACAGGTGAAGTTACCTCCTAGCTTCACTCAGCTAGTGAGTGGGGGAAGCTACCTGTTACCTGGGACTTTCGGACTCCCGAAAGTCTAGCACTGTGTGCTAGTCTCCTTGCTAGACACGGTTCCGCTTCTGGAAAGTCCCCTCCTCTGGCGCACACTGAAGCAATTCCCACTGCAAGGCAAGAGGGACCTCCTGCCCACACAGGCAGAGGGGCTACGAGGGAAACAGAAGACTGGAGAGTTTCTGGCCAGCACCAGGAACCTGAGGAAGGTCCTCTTGCCTGCAGGCGCTAACAGTCAACCTCAGGCCCCCAAATAAAGCGTCTGGTTTCCAAAAAGTCTGGACTACAGATAAGGCTCCCATGGACCAAGGTGGCAAATCCTGATGTCTAAGAAAAACTGGCTGTCCTCTTCAAGATTGGAATTAAAGGTCCAAAGGAGTCTGCCCTGCAACAGTGCTACCGCAAAGCAGAAAAGCCAGGGCTCCCACCCTTCACGGCCACTTCCCCAGGACCCCCACGTGCTCTCTCCTGGTGTCCCTGTCTAAGACAGAACTCCTCAGCTCACAGAAGCTGCGAGGGGACAGAGGTAGAAGGGACAGTGTGAGGACATGGCCCTGGAGCGGCTTCTTCACGTGGGCACTCCAGCAGGGCGTAGCATGAAGCCACAGACCATGCCGTGGCCCCACAGACCCTGGCCCTGGTCAGGGACTGGGCTCCTCGGAGACTATTTCCTCATCTGTGAAATATGTTTGTTGAGTGCCTTCTGTGTACCAGTCAGGGGCTCTTCTAGGCACTGGGGCCTCAGCCAAGAACAAGACAGATAAGGCTCTGCTCCCATGGAACTTACAGTCTAATTGGGGAAGACAGATCATAAACAAGTAGGTAAATGAGTTAATTTTAGTTAGTGATAAGTGCTATGAAGAAAATGAGAACACAGTCATGTGGATGGAGTCACCAGGGCTGTCTACTTCAGTGTGAGGTTAATCTCATGGGTTGTTAGGAGAATTAAGCGCATTAACGTAAGAAATGTGCTTAGCCTAGAGCCTGCCAGAGAATAATCATTCAGTAAATAACAGCCATCATCACCATCATCATGGCCATCATCATCCCAGAACCCCCAAATGAGAGTAAAGGGGAGACTTTGCCTGAGGTTCTTAAATTAACACCTTCCTCAAGCCTCCTGTCTGTGAACCAGGTTCTGTGTCAAAAACAAAAGACAGGTAATAACCCCTTGCCTCGACTTTCACATTCATTATCTCATGGAGCCTTCCAACATACATGATGTTATTATCACCACAGAAACAGCCAACAGAGACGTTAGGTGCCCCCACTCCAGGGTACTGGCCGAAAGGGTTACAAAGCCAGGCTCCTGGGAATTAAGTCCCTAACTAGTCATCTCTCCACCAAACCACTCATTTCCAGGAAGGGTGGTAGAAGAAAGGAGGAAGAAACAATAAAGCCATCATTTTAACGAAACATATCAAGTACTGCTATGAGTCAGTACCGGTCCTAGGCAAGCAAGGCCATCCCTGCCGTCAAAAGAGGCAGCAAGACCTGCATGAGCTTTCCAAAAACAAAGGAATAGCTAGTATCAGCTAGGTGAAGAAAACTGTAAAGGAAAATGTTGCAGGATTACTGATCCTCCTGAACTCTGGGCGTGACTGGATGTTGGTTGAGAAGAGGGTAGAAGGGAACCGGAAGCAAAGAGATGGGTGGAGAGGATCTTGAAGAAAGGCAAGATCACAGCCATGAGCCTAGGGTAGCTCCAAAGTTCGTCCGCCTACTGCCGGCCAGGTGTGAGGCAGGTTCTTTGCATACGTTGCCGTGTTTCGAGGAAGGCCAGCCCACTGAGGAGGAAACTCAAGTCCGAGACTTGATAATCCCTCGCATTTGCATGGTGTGTTATATTTTTCAACATGCTTCTCATCATTTGTCATCACCTCTGATCCTGCAACGCCCCTGTAAGGTAGGGAGGGAAGGGATGACTCTTCCATTTGATAGCAGGAAAAAGTGAGCCACAGAGAGGACCACAGACTTGCCTAAGGCCGCACAGCTGGTATCTCCTGGCATCGAGCAGAGAGCAGAGATCTCTGCTTCTAACACTGAGAACCTCGCAAGGCTGCGCCTTTAGAGCCTCTCTGGTCTGGCTTGTCCTCCATTCGGAGAGAGCTGGATAGAAGATCAAGAGCGAGGAGCTGGGGTCTGAGAGGTCTCACTGCCTGAGGCCTCCTGTCCCTTCACCTGTGGTGAGGTGCACATTGCCAGGCAGAGACAGCAGCCTGGGTGGGGCCTCCCCAGCAGTTCACC